CTATTAAATTTATTCCAGTAGATAACTGCATTACTGTTATAGTAATAGAGGCTGGATGACTCAGTGATGATAAAGATCTACAAAGCACCCTCTCTGCAAAATTTGCTGATGATTTTCCTCAAAGGCCTTATACCATGATTCTTTTTAAAAGAAGCTGTGCTTCCTTCAGTGTTCAGATTTCTAACAGGCCTGCTCTTTCAAAAGCACAAGAAGTTGTGCATAAAAAAAAACAAGGTTTAGGCACTGGAGTAATGTTCATAGCTTCAGGATTTAGAAACCTTCAAGCAGCTCTATGACATGAGCATTGAAGTTCAAACGTAAAGCTGGGACCTTTTTATGCAAAATGCTCCTCAACTAACAAAAATTGTGCACATCTACAGACCTTTGGCATAAAACAAATTGATCCTACAAAAAAAGGAAGACAAGCCCGCTATCTCAAATGTTTTCTCCTACCTTTCCAGTGTTGTAAAGTGCTCAGACTCATCCCTGGGATCAGGCTCCAGTGTGGACAGCAGCATCAGTTCAAGCCTCCCTCATTTTCCCAGCCTCTTCACTTCTCAGTTGCAAGACTTCCTACCCATAACTTTGACTCTGAAGATGCTTTCCCATATCCTTCCACTACCTCAACAATGTGAAGAAGACAAAGCAGAAACCAAGGACCTAGTGTCATGCTGTAAGCCCAGGCAGAACATTTTTGTTTTAACATAATTCTAAGGAAAAATGCACACGAAGTTTCAACTACAAGGAAAAAAACATTCTAGACAGTATTTTTGAAAAAAAAATCTCACCATAACCACTGCTTTATCGTGCAATAAGCACAACATGCAAAACAACAAAACGAAAACGGCCACAGTGCATATTTCTCATCATAGGCACCTTGTCCTGGAGGTGACTAAGCATCCAGCAGCTCCCACCAATGACCCTTAAATCAATGTCCCCTGACACAAAGAAGCACCCTGCTCAGCAGACTCTCTTCTTCCATGTCATATTAAACTGTGATTGAGCTTCGCCAAGCTGATGAAGGCATTCCCAGCTAAGTAGACTTCACAGATGACACCTCCTCCGATTTAAACAGCAATTAGCCATTTATTCTGAAGTAATTCCCTCAGAGTCCCAACTTAAAGCATTAACTGGGGAGATTGAGTACGTCATTATCATGTTTCCTGTCAGCCTAAAGAATTAATTTCAACCTACAGATGCTATCTCAGAGACTCTATTAGGAATGGTCTATAGGGATGTCTTTTCAGACAGAATTTCTACAAATTTTATGGTAAGGATGTAAGTGAAAAAACAAACAAAAAAATAGGATTTTTTTTTTGTTTGTGGACCTTTCCTAAAAAGAAAAAACATTTCTGTTTGTATCAAACTTTGATTCAAATTTGATTTGCATACAAGAATAGAGCTACTGCAGAAATTAATCTTGGATGATTTTACATTATGGATATACTGTATTTACTCTTAATTATGTATGCATAGGTGGTAAGCTTAGTGCTCAAGCAGCTGCTGTATTACTAAATGGCTTTCCTTACACTGTCTTTATCTTCCACATTAGTCTCTTCTTCTGAGAGTTAAATGCTATTCTGCAAATCAAGCTTGAAAGACACTTGGAAAGCAAGCAAACTTTCAGGTTTAATGGGCTTTCAGAAATGAGTAACTACCTCAAATAACCTATTTTTGTAGTTTTTTTCACAAGTTTAAGAGGTATCACTTTATGAAAAGGTCTAGTAACAATAAAATCAAAAAACTACACAACCAGTCTAGCTCTATAGAACTTATTTGAGCTAGCCTGGGTTATATCAATTACAAATCTGACCTCAACTAGGCTTTGAATTTGAGAGAAATATGTCACTTGCTATAGCTACTTCTCTTTTTCTTTTTTTAATGAAGTAAAATATGACTGATTTCTTTAGAAGAAAGGAATTATCCACTATGAGAAACTGGGAATGTTTTATTTTCAAAGTGTGTTCTTGTATGGAATTTTAAACTTTGAAGACTGGCCAGCGGTGCATGCAAACGAAAGCAATGCAGAAAAGAAGGGCCTGCAAGAGATTGTTTAGGTGTCAAGTCAATCACGGAGGGAATATAAAGCTAATTGTGGTTTACTCTTTACTCACCTATTTAAGGGTGAACATTGCAGACATAATTCTCCTCAAAAGCCTCTAACTTCAGCTGCATCACACACACAAGGACCTTATTTCAGTTAATTTTAAGCTAGAATTAGGTATTCCACACTGAGAATTTCCATCATAGGGGGCAAGAGATAGAACCAGCTCAGCTACAGAAGATTGTTTCTAACTCATTCTCTCCTTGAACAAGTCAGGAGAAAAACATTTTGTATGTGGGACCGTGGGATATTAAGAAGCATCTGGTCACTTAATTTTCGGGCCTTGTATATGAAACTCTGGAAGGAGTTCAAATGCAACTGCAAAGGAAAGGTCAATCCTAATGCGGTGTTAGGCCCAGCTCAGCCGCACGCTTTATATACGCCCTGACTTCCTCAAGTATTTATGGAAACAGCCACATGGAAGTGTGCTGGACATGTACTGGCTAGTCCTGTCTATCAGAAGAATCAAGATACCATAAAAATGTGCATTAATAACAAAAGGATGTGAGAAACACAAAGGACTAAAATCATAGGCCTAAACATGATCCATAATCAACCATTCCAGCTTAGTGCACAGCAATACCACAGCAAAACTGAATGCACAGCATTATCTGGCTGTGCCTAGAAGCTTTAAGTTCAATTAGAGTGCTATACTGCTGCAGCTTGATGTCAAAGGGACACACATGGTGATCTGAGGCTGGGTGACAGTCAAGCAACTTGATTTCAAGAGGAAATCAAGAAAGAAGGAACAATCTCTTTCTTGAGTGGTCTTTAATTCTTGACCTTCACTACTAAGCTTTCCTGGTGGGATCCTTCTCTGCAAACAGCAGTAAACAGCAATCCCAGTTTTCCATCTAGCAGGAGTCAGTAGCAGCCAAAGCCGAGGCCAGAGAGGGGCTAGGGCAGCTTCCTACAAGCTGGAAGTCCAGAAGAAGGTGTAGCAAGAAGAACGGCAGAACTAGCCTACTGCCTTGTAGCCTCCAAGCACAGGGAGCTAATGAAACCATGGAGAAATCCGCACATCACATGGGTGAAGTTTTCACATCAGGGGAAAAATTTAAGGATTAAAAAAAAAAAAAAAAAACAAATGCTTTTAAAACAAGCTTTCATCATTCTTCCTCCAGTACTGAAGACACAGTTTCACATCAAGTAGTCCTTTGCTCATTAGTGTTAAAAGTTTGGATGCTCTTCTTTTGTGGCTTATATCATGAAGAAGAGGTGGTTGCTACATCTCTTGCTTATTTGTCACATTACTATCACATCTTTAGAACTAACAATTTTGCAATGCAGTAAATTAGTATTTATCTATTTGTTAAGCACTCTTCTTTTTTAAACCATGACTTCTTTCCAACCATCAACCTGCAGCTACAACACACAGTCAGGGTTCTTCAGAAAGAGATGAGCAAGTCCTTGGACTAAAGATAAATTCTCTTCGGCCTGATGCTCTCTTGGGAAATGTACATTACCAGTACAATTACAGTCAGAAGAGTTTAGTAAATTGTATGTTGGAAGGTTGCCATGTTTGGTCACGCTAAGTGTCCATCAGAAAGAAACTGATAGGATGAGGAAGAAAAAATCCAAGAGACACTGCCAATATTTAGGGAACAGACTCTTCTCTACAGAGTAGAAATGGCCTTCCTTTTCTTAGCACAATTCTGCCTTCTCCAAATCGCAAAAAAGTACTGCCATTACTGCTCACAGAGGCTTCTTCTGAAGTCAAGGGGATATTGCCAGAATATTTTAGAGAGTTTGCAGAAGAAAAGAAAGGAATTGCTAGAAAATAATTATTATTTGCTTTATAAACGTTACAGTCTTTGCTTCCCCGCCTTTCTTTCTTTTTTTTTTTTTTTCTCTTCCCTCAGGAGCTGCCATTTGGTTTTCTGATTGAAGAATTACTAATAGGAATGTCTCGTTGAACCTCTCTGCAGTGTTACATTTGTCTGTCATTTCTTCATCTGTGTAGGTGTTACTTGCACGGCATTACTTAAAGACTGCTTTGATGATATTGCTGGCACTAACTAGGATATAACACATTACGGGGTATTACTCAGTTTTCCAGATTAGATATTTACTTCATCAGAAACTGCTTTCTGGGGTTTAACTTTTATACTTTCTACTTATGCCTTTTGTGTTTAACAAATTCCCAAACAAAGAATGAAAAAAAAAATTACCACCAGACAAATGTGTGCACGTGTAAAAGATAAAAGTTCTGCTCAAAAACAGATCCTCCCCTACAGTCATTTCTAAAGAAAAAAAAAAAAAAAAAGGGAAAGGAAATTATTAGTTTGTCTGTCAGGAGAAGAAAGATGTAACCACCTTTGAAATGGCATTCCAGTTTGTATTTCCTTTTTACAGATTGTTCTGAGCAGATACTAAAGTTTGGCAGGAATGGAAGAACAAAAGCTTCCTGACAAGACAAACTTCATGGCTCAACTTATTTGAACCCAAACTTTTGTGAGCTTAATATTGCACTTCAAAAAACCTGGACTGAATATTCAGGCATGAGCAGAAGAGTATTACAAAGTGATGGTTTGTGCCAATTGCTGGTTGTTCTGTCACGGTCTTCGCACGTCTGCCTCCTCCCTTATGGTATGAGTTGTGTTTTCAGTAGGGACTACCAGCACAACCACCACACCAAGAACTGCCTGGGGCGCAGTGGTGCAGCCTCTGGGGATGGCAGTGCACCCACCTACTCCATGCACGGACTTTCCCCACTGCATCTGGAACCAGTTTGGGTCATTGCTGGCACAATGTCACCTCCTGCCACATGTGCCACAGGAGGAGGCATTTTGCTTTCCGTGTCACAATAAGGTGCCCAAATTAGATTGCATGTGCAGCGTGGGGAAGGTTCCCTGCTCTGCTAACCACTCAGCACCACATGCACCCAAGGAAAAAATGTTTACCTGGTGTGGCCACGGTTAACCTTTTTTCCTTGCTGAGACGGTGCCCATGGATGAATTCACTCATGGAAGGGGGGCCCCTCAGAAGATATGATTCTGTGGAGGCGGGATGAGGGGGGGCTCTTAATAATTTCTGTAGGTAGGTCCCTGAAGTCCTGGGATGGCTCTGATCACAAAGGGAAGGTGAGAATAGTCTTGCAGGAGATCCAAGAAAAATACATATGGAAACAAAAGAGTTTTACTTTAATTACCTTTCAAAGCCTCATGTATGACAACATCACGTTAATTTAACAGGTAAAAAAAAAAAAAAAAAGAAAAACAACTAGTGTTGCCACCTCTTGTCACTCCCACAGCAGGATATCTTGCCTGCCTAGGAAACTCTTGTTCATATGAGGGGAGGAGGAGATGAGGTTGACTTATACCTCAGCGTTCTGCAGTCGACATATATAAGGCTTCTGGGATGTTCTCTTAGCTTTTGCATTGTGACTAGAGTATACAGGAAAAGGGAATGATGGGCTAGGACTTCCTTAGGAGAGAAGTCATCAGAACCATGGAGATTCCCCCAGCCATAGAGCTTTGGCAGGACAGTCACAAGACAAGATGAGAACTCACTGCTTGGACAGCAAAATATTTGCATTATGTTATGAATGGCAGCCATCCCCCTTCAAAAAGTTATTTGCATAGAAAAATTCATCTGAGTGAACACATCCATATATTTTTTGCACTGACGAAGAAAAAATGAGTATCAGAGCTTAACAAAAAGAGATTATTTCTTTTGCGTTAAGCACTGAAATGCTTATAGGACACAATCCCTTTTTCTTATTTCAGATGCTCATTTTATGATTTGCAATACCTTAACTTGTTATGGAAAATACATTCACACTAATATTAAAGACATACGAGATGCACTGACGCACTGACAGAACATAGTTCAAAAAACTGCATTAAGGAGGAAGAAATAACAATGTGAGTAAGTGGATCAGAACCACACGTTGCCAGGCTTTGAAATCCGTAGTCATATCCTCCCCACCTCCTTCTCCCCAGTCAAAATAGAAAAAAAAAAGAAAAAAAAAGAAAAGATATATATATTATATATATATAATGTTTACAATTCAGTGAAAGACTTTAATGAAAGTCTGGCCACTGCACTGTACTGTAAAGATCACTGCATGCATACCTTTTCCTCTGAGTGCCACTGCTGACCAGTAAGTTTGGTTGCTGTGGGCCCTGACTATGCAGGAGGAAAGTGTCTATGGTTGGCACGGTGGCTGATGCCTCCTCACTTACTTTAGGGCTGCCGATCTTGCTCTTTCCCAGCTTGCCTTTGCTGCGTCGGGACTGCTCGTGGTCGAACTCTAAATCCTCCAGGCGCTGGGTGAGGGCAAGTTTTTGTTGGATAGCCATGCGCAACAGAGAGTTTAGGGTCTTCTTCTCATCCTCTGCAGCTGCCAGCTGCCTTTGCATCTCATCCAGCTGCGTGACGTACTCATCACACCTGGGAAAATAAACAAAGCAGAAATCTGGGGAACTGGTCCAAGAAGCAACCGTAGCAGGGAAAGCGTTTCAGGGCCTCTGTTACAGAGACAGGTTTGGGTCAAACCCTTCTTGAACCTAATCCTGGAAGCAGACAGCCTTAGTTCTTCTATTCCCATTTTGAACAAACTTGGACTGTTCAGGCTTCCCATTCAGTAAGAGAATCTGTACCTGGAATACCCGAGTAGCCTATGCCTGTGTTTCTAAAGCACATAATGAGCAACTGGAGGGTAGGTTTCAGACTGTCTCTACATCAGACCACGAGCAACAATTTTAGGGACAGGTTAATCTAATAACTCACCATGATAACAATATCTACTAATTAGATAATGTTATTTACCATAAACAATAAAATCAACTTAAGTGAAGTATTACATAATTTTTTTTTAAAAAAAGACTACTCTGAACACTTAGCAGTTTAGACTTTGTGAAATGCGAAGCCCTTAGCTATTTGCCATTGTTCACTGGCTAAAGGCATCGTGTTCAGGCAATGATTTCACAATGACAAGTCTCTTGGAGATGTCCTCCTTCATGTACATTCCTCCTTCATGTACTTGTACATGTTAATCAGATCCCCTCTCAGCCTTCACTTCTCCAGAGAAAACAGGCCCAACTCAGTCACTGAAGTGCACCAGTAGTGAAATCATTCACAGGTAGTGGTACTGTGTGACCATCAGGCATTTGTAGCCACATCAGATGCTCTGCGTAAAATGTTTTCACTTGGGATAATGCAGCTTTTGCCAAAATTGCTTTCACATGCGATATGTACAGATTTAAATAATTTTTCACTGTAACCACAATAGCGTATTAAACAACGATTTAGCTTAATCAGTATTATTCACAGAAAACAAACATCAAAAAACTGTTTCACTTTTCTTTCTTGAAATATATGACTCGCTAAACCCTTGACATTAAAATACCGAGTGATGAAATTTGTGTTTAATTTTAATCTTCTTCTTAGGAAGCTGAAATAAACTTATGCTTAATCATTCTTCACACATAATTCTCATAAATTATTAAAGAGTGCAATATATTTAAGTATTTTAATTGGAAGTAAAATGACATAAAAATGACTAAGCCAGCCATAGGTTTAGCTACAGTTTCAGTAAGGACTTTAAGCAGAACATTAACAAGCATGACTCTCTACTTAAGCTGTGAGGATTAGAGATCTTTCTGAAACGTTCGTTGGCTGTAAAGTACACCTCTTTCTACTCCAAGTTTTATGATGTTTATGGATATTCTAGTCAGTTTTAGCCAAAAACCCTAGGACGAAACCAGTATCCTGGTGATTAAATTTATTCAATCTGTTTGAAACAGAAATGACTAAGATCTGTATTAGCAAAGTCTAAAATTTTCTTTCTTGCAACCACATGTACTGTATCTGCTAATTTCTCTCTCCTGTTCTTTCCCATTTTCCCCTTTACTTTATCTAGAAGAAACAGAAACACCTTTCTTTTTTCTCCAAAAACATTTTTTAATTGAAAATTAAATCAAAAACAAGTAACATCTGCAGCAACACCTGCAGCAGAGTGCCTCTGAAGGAAGTGGCTACCTTGCTTTACTAAGGCAATGAGTCAATTTTCTTCCTGGAAAAAATACAGGTTTTCCTGAGGCCTTAGGATATGTAGGCAATTAGACATCTATTTGTAAACCAGAGCAATTGAGCACTGGCCCTATAATGTGGATCTGGATGCTCTCAGACTGGCTTCATACTCAAGATAAAAATAAGCTAGTTCATGCAGCATCTTCCAATTACTCTGATTAATTATATGCCCTTCCTAGAGGTCTCCCTCTAACAGCAATAAAACATTCTTGGCAGTTCATTGCAGTGTTTGGGTGGTTCCAGGGCATCTGACCTCCACCATGATTCAGTTTCCTAATATTTTCCACAGACACACAGCCCATTGTGTCTATGTTTTGTTGTTCAAGCATATGTATTTTCTGAGAAACTGTTCAGAAAGGTTAAGCCTGAATCTGTCCAGTAAAGGCCATAACTAACTTTCAAAACTGCTGAATCAACAGCACCAAAGCTCCTTGAAGTCTGCAGCAGTGAAGGTTATTCTGTTTACTGACAGGTAGCTACTGCAGCCATGGCATTTCCCTTCAATGAAACATTCCCTATTATGTGCAAATGTGGGATGAAAAGAGAAGTTTTCCAATTAAAATGAAAAAAAAGCAGAACACATATCCATATTGCCTTTTGCCCACACGCTTTATAAACGTTCGGGAAGTCTCACAGCTTATTGAGGAACAAAAAGGATAAGAGCCCTTGGGAGAGAGGATGTCTGGCAGGAGACTGGGGAGGCTGGACTGCATCGCACACCAGGGCTCCAAACGAGAGGTTCGGAAGTGCTCAAATACCAAATAACAAAATTGGCCTGCTCTGTCCCCGAGCCAGAGCTCCTTCCCAACCTGCCCATAAACATCACTGTCACTCTGCTGTCTGCTGGTCTACCTACTGACTGCCAGAGCAGGAGCCAAGGTTTCACCTATTTCTCATTTCTCTTGTCTTGGAAAGGAAGCAGAAAGACAAATAACCCCACTCATTTTGAATAAGCTGATCCAAGAAGCTTATATAGGAGTTTAAGGGATTTCTGGTTCCATCTTACTCTCTTGTTTAGGCATGCAAAACAAATGCTAAATCGGGTCTGGGCATAATTTAGGTCACATAAATCAGTAGCAGAGCATGAACTAAAACCCAAAGACAGTGACACAGACAGATCCCTGCAGTGACATGGACAGATCCCTGCTCTAGCCATAATTCTCTTCTGCTCCAGCAATTCTTTCTCATCTAAGATACCTCCAGGATCTTCTTTCACTTCCTAATCCATCTCTTCACTGCATTTTTTTTCAGGTATTAAACGTAAGAAAACATTTTGATTGATAGAGAATAAAATCAGTGCACAGCCGTGTCAGGACTGTGGCAGTATCATGAGTCATACTTCTTGCTCTCTCCTTTTTACTACTGGGAAAGCAAATATATTCAGGGGCTCAGTGAAGTTAGCTTTCTAAGTACCTTATGATCCTATTTTAAAAGTGGTTCCTTCTCTCCTTTGACATTAAGACTTCTATCCCAGCCCCTACAGTGGATGGGAAAGCTAACATTTTAAATAATATGTTTTTAATTTTTCCTCCAGATGTGTCCTGGCCCTCAGCATCACTGCTTCACACACCTCAGAGACTGCATCGGTGACGTGGGGTTGGCATGAGGGGACATGAGCAGGGAGCTCAAAAGGCTCATACCATTTTCCTGATGTGGGACTACAAGAAGCCACACAAGACAGAATGAGGAGAATTATGACAGGAGCTGAGAATTGAACCTCCCCCATGTGTACACCTCCTTGCCAAAGCTGCAGCAGCAGAGTTTACACCTCCTTAAAATGCACCAACAAAAGTGCCTTTATGGAAGAGCTCTGCAAGCTCTGCAATAACTGTTGGTGGAGACCATGTAGTGCCCCAAAACATCATCAGCCATAAAAGGCAATGTTTTTAAAAAGCAGAAAACTGAGAATGCTTGTAAATGAACAGTCAATGCACTCAGCTCTTCTCTATTGCCAGGTAAGTATGATTAACCCAACCAAGTGCTCCTGGCCAACCTTCTGCTGCTTTCTCAACTTTACAAATAACTGATATGATGAGGGGAGCCTAGAAAATGGATCCTCCTTTGAGCAGAAAGTGGACCAGAAAGGATTTTTTGGCAGTTTGGACCACCAAAGAGGATTGGTGTGAGAATGGAGAAACTTTCATTTTTTCTGTATTGCTTTTATAGCATAACAAGGCTTTGTTCGCAGAAAATAAGGTTTTATACTCTATTATACTCTTTTTATTCTTCCTACAAACTATAATGAGGACACGTTCTTGAGTACTTTTTTAAGTACACTGAGAACGGAAAGATGGTAAGAAAAAGCTGTAGAGATCAGAAGCACAGAGATTTTAGATCAGAAAAAGGACAGGAAAGAAAAAAAGCAAAAGTAGAGGTACAATCTGGAAAGAGTTTGTACAATGCTATTTGAGGGAAGGATAGAAGAACTGAATGAAGAACTTAAGGAAAGGAGAGATACACAAGTATCAGGGGAAAACACAGGTAAAAAACAACAAAAAAAGGCTTGCTTGTTCTTGCTTTTTGTATAAAATGATCTTTGGGGAAATCTTTCATGTTTGCTGTTCAGATCAGAATTAGGTCTGCTGTGCTGCTCTTATAATGTGGCACTACCCTTATCCAGTGTAATGGTCAGTAAAGAAAAACATACAGTTCAACATCAGAATGAACATCCATTTATTAACTAAATGAACAGAAAAGAATGGTTTATGAAAGAGAAAGTACATTACCCTATCAAACAATATATGAAATCTTTTCAGATCTATAATATAATTCTAATATCAGCGATATGTTCTTCCTATAAAACAAATTCAGTAGTAAGCACTATGCGATGCAGGCTTGCCACGGAAACCACTGTTTTATTTAACAGAAGACTAAATAATTGTTTTCCAGTGCTATTCCATCGAACTGTTATTGCATGGAGAATCTTAACATTCTTCCATTTTCAAACAGATTTCTCTTCTTGAACAGACAATTATAGTATATCAACTATCTGTCATTTAGACAAATGCTATTCCAAATGGAGTACTCGGAATGAGTCAACCATTTGAACATTTAGGAAAATTGATTTAATTATAAAGGCCATTAGCTTCTGGAGTAGAGAAAGAAAAGGAATTTTTCACAACAGGAAAATCAATGGGAACACACTAAGATGCACGAACTTGCAGAGACTTTTTGTAAAGAAAATACTGGGCAAATTTCCTATGGAATATTTTTTGTATCTATGGCTATGCGGTATGTTTTTAATCACTATTGCATCATGTTAACCAGCAGCAGCAGATGCTATATGTGAAATTTATCTCTATAAACACTAGACATTTACAAGATAGACATCTGTAGTCTGCAAGACGCACAGATTCCCCTTATAGTTCATAGAAAAGAAACAAAAATTTTATCCTACCTTATTCCTAACATCTCAGGTGAGATGACTGATTGCCTTTAAACCTAATTTTCAAAAAAAGATACTGCCGTTTCCCAGCAGCTTTAGCAGATGCCTCAAATCCACGAGAACTGTTCACTCAGGATGCCTCAGTTGGGTAAGGAGCATTCAATATGCCAATATGACCCTTAAATAACAACTTTTAAAGCTTTTCCAAAGTGTTCTGTTTCATAGTCAAAGATCCTTTGCTTCATGCTCATGATGCCACCCCTCTCCTCAGCAGTTAGCTGGTATCTGTATAAAATTATCTCATTTATGTATCCCCTAGAGTAAAAATCCTGTAAAAACGCATTTCCACACACATGCATTTCCAAAATATGTGCTTAGCTTTCTAAGCATAACTGAAATCAATGCAGTTACCTTGGTTCACATCATCTGATGAGCTGGTTCTTTATTTCTGTTAGGATCCTACTCATTGTTTTCTGAGGATGATGCTGTAATGTATTTGTTTACAGCTCCTATGTCATGGTATGTAAATGACCCTTCTCCTTTCCTCCTACTTCTCTCAGGTGCCACAGCCACTGTCACTAAGCACCCAGGACCTCCAGGAGGCTGGAAGAGGGAGATGGCACCTGCACACTAAAGGGAGGACTGGAGAGGTGTTGGCATGAGGCTTGGAGAAGGCTCATCACTTACACACTAAAGCACAGGCAAGCAATCTGCATTATGTTTGACCAAAAGAGGAAAAAAAATAAACAAAAGACATACTAGGGAAATTTCCTGAGGCTCCTACTTTCTTTGGTTATTTGCGAGTAAAGAATTTACTGGTCAAAGTGTTGGGTCTTAAAAACATATACATAGGTGACCTTTGAAAAAGCTGCTAAAATCTAAAGATCTTCTGAGGAATGTATGAGAGAAGGAATATGATGATATGAATGTATGGGAGAGATATGATTAATTACTATCCTGACAGGAAAAACTATGCTGCAGAAGATATATGACACTTGTAAATATAACGAGTAGATAATAAGTCAAATACCACAACTGTAGAAAATAAGAATTCACGGTGGAGTGGGAAATTGCAATGGTCTCACAATTATTTGTGTTGCATTACAGCATGGAATAGTTGATGAAATAGATTTTTCCAGTGGCAAGTAATAAATCTTGCAATAATGATAACACAGGGTTTTAAAGATTATCATTAACAATATAATAGCTTTATGTGAGGGAATCACGGTGCACTTCTGAATGTATCAGCCAAATAAATCTAGTATTTACTTTCCACTTTAAAAAAACCTATAAATGCAAATAAACTGGAAGTTGATATTCGTCTTTATAACACTTTTCTCATGGTTGTATCGACATTATCATCCTCCAGCTTTATCTTCCAAGGGCATGAATCTCAGTAGCACTTCAAAGCTTGCAACTTTTGCACATGTTTTGCACAAGACTCATTTCAGCTTCATCCAGTGAGGCTCTGCCTTTGCAGAAAATGATTTCCTTATCTCCTCCGAAGCACCCAACATACACAGCTACCTCTGTTCTCCCCTTAGCTCACATACTTCCTTTTACAAACGTGAGCCAGACTGCGAAACCACTTCCCTTACCTGGTGGCAAACATTGCTCGCAAGGATGAGAAGGTTGCTGCATCTTCCTTCAAAGCCTTCAGTTCATTTCGTAGTTTGGTCATGGTTTCAGTAACCATTGCTTTTTCATTTTCATATTTATTCTTCAAATTGGCTAATGCCACTTCAGCTGTCTGCAAACACAAAGATACATACTTATGAGAGAGGTATTTGATAGCGGCTAAGATGCCATGTCGGGTTTTGCTTCTGGTTTCCTTCTTCGTTCACACGGGAGAAGAACATCATATCTGAGCTCCACTGACTTTTGAATTACACTCCACAAAGCCAGGGAGAGCAGAAAGCAAGTGAAAACACAACGCCTGTTTCAATACCTTGGGCAACAAATGGAAACTTTCAATCTCTCTACAAAACAGGGCAGCCCTACACCGAGGGCTCAGGCAGGTGAGTAATTTCCTGCTGCTTAAGAGCATCCAAACTGCCACACGGGAACCCTTAGCCCATTACAAACGGGATATACAGCAGGCCAGGCTCAGCTTCTGCAGCTCAGCGTGAGCCGGGCTTGCTGCCAGCTGAGAAACCCTTCGCCTTGGCTTACTGAGGGTGACCTTGGGCGAGGGGCAGGCTAGGACCTGACTCCGTCCTGCTGGCTCTGCGCGCCGGGGATACCTGCCTCTGTACGGAATTACTCTGACAGGTTTATCTACTATAGAAAAAGAAAGAAAAAGAAATAAATAAAAAAGACTTGAATCGTGTATGTTTTACTTATGAAGTATACTATTCTTTTGAATTTATTCAAAATACACATTTTATAGAGGTTTTATACCTACTGCTGCTATGAGACTTAAAATTATTACCATGGAAAGACATTAAGAAAAAAAATGCCTCCTTTTTCATTTTCTCGGAGGGCTTTATTGCTTTTTTGCTGCACAAATGCTGCACAAGAAGTTGCAGCATTTCATATAAATGATGATTTTGCCCTGTTGATTTTGCACATTCTTGAGCCATCAGTAGGGGAGAGAACTGTAGAAAAACATGAAATTAACACAGACAGCAAGGGGACATGACTAAAGAGAATAATGACAAACAGCAGGAAGTCTATTTTAAACTCAGTTTTCTGAAACTCACTAGATTTCACCCTAAAATGACTCATAATAAAATACATATTAACATCTGCTAAAATATAACTTCATTAATTTGTATCTGGCAAAACAGTATAGTAACAAATTGCAGTACTAAAACAAATGGTATCAAAATTGTCTTCAACTGTACACTCATCAGCAATGTTTTTCCTACTTTCACACTATTTTACATAAAGTGATTTTAAAATTCAGCACTCTCTGTAATCATAAATATGCGAATTTCTATGTCAAATTTGAATTCATCAGCAACACGTGGTAAAAAAGCACTTAGCAACATACTCCAATAAATGCAGCTTTTATCAGTCTTAATGGCATATGCCTTAATATAATGTAGGATAGGAAACACCATCCTACACTTTGACCTGCATAAAAGAAGAAGAAGAAATCATTAGCTTGCTATCGGTTTCCAGGCAGGAACGAAGGGCTACACTCCTAAAATACCATAGAAAAACAGGATTAATCATGTTTAATAAAACAACTTTTTTTAAGGAAATAGCAAGCCGAGGGACAAAATTCTTTCAACAAATATGATTAAATAAGATTTGAGAATCTTCAGGTCGCTGCCAGGCAAAGGTGATTTATCAAAGCACCACTGGATTTTATAGTTCCAGCTAAATTCTGTTTTGGCTCCAAAGAAAAAATCCAGATGTCTTTTATTATTATTATTATTATTATTATTATTAAGGAAAATACAGCCTACAGTCCCTAATCTTATCATGCTTAGTTTTTGATTATTTGAGCATTTTTCTTAAAATCAAAGGCAGATAAACTCATGTGAAGTTTTTCCTTGGTTTAAGCATTAGAATAAGTTAAATACATGTACTACCTAAGTTTGTTTTTTTCAGCAGTGGGATCACACATTCCTTGTAAACCCAGTAAGGTACATATTGCTAAAACTGCATGCAGGGACTAGATGGAACTAGTTAATTTGTTTTCTCTTTGTCCCTCCAGTCATTCTTTGTAACAGAAATTCTCTCCCTGTCTCAAGAGGAAGTGAAAGGCACAATATCCTGTTCTGGAGAATTTCATGAATTATATCTATTTTGCAGAAACTCTTCTTTGTGCTTTGGCTAGGTAGGGTGATCAACTAAAACAAAACATCAGTGACCCATGTGAAGTGACTTGTTTGCTCTGGCTGCTTTGCAGTACCAGAGAAGAGTCCTGGAAATTGTGAGCAGCAGATTAAGAACTTGGAAATGTTTTAGCACTGCTTTTTTGTTGTTGTTGTTTTCCTGGAGAACGAATCAAAACCTGCTCTTGGTATTCTTAAGTAAGAAAAGATGAAAATAGTTCATTACATCTATTTTCCATAGGTACTGATAACCAGTGCTGAAAATTACCGTCTAAATACAGTACAGCCTTGAGACTTTGGTGTTACCACACTGAAGTTACTCAGTGTCTATCATTTTAGGACCGAGAGGCTGCTTGAGGCCAGTTTACCAGTTTACAGTTCAATCAGTCCATACTGGCTGGTTGCCACCAAAACATAACTACCCAGCACTGCCTTGTTCCCATCCTTGGCACCCTTTGGACTAGGCTCACGGTGAGCTGTGACCAAATGAACCAAAGCTACAGTTTTATGTTGCTCTTTTTTTGCAGGAACAGCTTTGGTTTAAATTATTCATATTTTTTCCTTCTTTCAGCCAATCTCCAAAATTGTGCCCACCAAACCATCTCATTGGCTTTGTCCCATTGCAATGCCAGGGAATAACCTAGCTTAACCCTTGGGAAAACCTTCCTTTCCCCTCTCTCAAAAATAATACTAATAAAAAAAAAGTGTTTGTTTTATTTCAGGTAATTTCAGAGATTTGGTTTATACTGGAGCAACATCAATCCATTTCTTTTACTGCTTTTACTGAAGCGTTTGATTTTAAGCTGTAGCCAGCTACAAAACTGTATCAGAGGCACTAGAGAACACTGCTCCAAATGAAAATGCAACATCTGAGCAACAGGCATTGAAATGGAGAGAATAAAAAAAAGAAGGAAACACATTAAAATGTGTGAACGCTCTGCAGAGAGGCAAATAAAGCCTTCCTGAGAGAAGACCAGGTCATGCCAAGGAACTGGAAAAAAAGCCTACCCAGCCACTTGCTGAGATGCTCAGAGACAAAATTTATCACTCACATCGTGACTAGTATTTACTATGTCAAGAACTCCCAAGCCTTGGATATCTGAGGGGCACGAAGTGCTCGAGAGGAGGAGAGAGCTGAGGTGTATGGAGCTCAGCACCTCCAGCCACATGGACCCAGCCAAAGAGGACCAGAGACACTGCCAGAACCGACGACACTCTTGGCATCATCCTCTTTGTCCTTACAGAGGAGACCTGTATCCAATCCAGTGTCTTAAAGGTTGCCACCTTAATTCTGAAACCCAGGTACAAACCTCCTCAACAGAGACTTCATGTTTTAAGATGACTTTGCATCATATTTGCTTTACAATAACAGTGTGAGAAGCAGACCAAGTAAAATGCTGTTGATGAAAAAATATATAATCCTAAGTACTTCAATTTTGCATGAAATAAAAGGAGAACAGAAACCCATTACTTTTGTGCAGAAAGTGTACATGGTACTGAATTCTTCCACCCAACTTCATTTTCCAAGGACTGATTCTGCTGCCTAGGGTTTGTGTAACATCAGGCTTTTGCTCATAGACCACGCACTGTATGACTGGTGACTTCTCTGAAGATTTTTATAGGCATCTCAAAGGTGTAAGCTGGAGTGAAATTATTAATGAACTGATCCTAAAGTTTATTTTAAAATTAATTTAATATTACTCTATAATGTAAAACTGCTGCTTGCTTTTGCTCCATAAAAATAGTGTTGGCACAGTAGTTAAAACTATGAATACACGGGCACACTAATCAAGAAAAAAGAAAGCAAGCAAGGCAGCAAGATATATGTGCACTTATATATCTTGAGCACTGGTTCAATTCCCTGTGTTTAGGTTTGCAGCTTCTTAAAGCAAACCTTGGCCTTTCTTCCTGCATTATAATGTTCTGTGTATTTTCCTTCTGGCTCAGCTTAGCACCAAAGTGCTTATTTAAAAATATTACTTCAGAAAAGAATTGCAATCATCATCATCAAAAAAAGTCAAATGCATTAAAATAGGCAAACAGGCAAAGGCCTGTCAGCTTCAACAGAAATATACTGTGTGCTGTTAAAGGTTTAAAAGGTCTAAGTGAACTGCCAGACTGACAGGCCTGCTGCAACAGATGAAACACAGACTCCTCCAGTGCCTTCTGCTGGCGGGCAACTTAGGGTGAAGAGAAATAAACACAACTTGGGGTAGAAATTCAGTCTGCTTTTCTTCTCGCAGTGAATCATTTGCCTCTGTACCTGGATAACTGAGGATGTCAGCACAGGAAATGAAGTGACCGACCAGAAACAGTGTAAAAAAAATGTGTTTTAAACACAATTCTGCAATACTTTGTGTGGTAATTAGATAGCCCTGGCGTGTTCCTGGCGTGACTTCCTTGCCTGAAATAGAGCCTCAAAGCCCAGGCCCTGGAATTGAATCTGTTCTTCCCCTTTAGAGTTGAGCACTGAGATCCCGTAGACAGACTGGTTCTCCTCACAGCATTTCCTGCCTCCCTCTCTCCATTCCTCCCTCTCTCCATTCCTTTCCATATTTCTGCAAAGCACAGGATTTAAAATATGGAGGGGAACTTGACAAGAACAAAGAGCCCCTCCTGATCACTTGCCAGATCAAAGTATAAAATTTCCCAAAGGCAGGAATGTTTCCCACCTGGCAGCGAAGGTACACTAACTTGAATTAATGTATTAATGAAGAAAAGTTCTTGTTTCACACTAGTATCAGCCTTGTTAGGACTTGAGGAAGGTTTTTAATGAATCAAAATCCCAGGTATTGTGGTTTTACAGAAAATGTGTAAAACCAAACCATTTGCCCTCTATAGCCTCATCTCCTAAACTAAAACCCACAGAGAAAAAAAAACTACCAGCCTATGGTTGCTTAAATGTCATTATTTTGGAAGGGAAGAATTAGAGGGGTGATTCATGCTTGACTCATATTTTTTTGAACACCAAGTGTGGTTAGGATACACCCATCAGTTTGGGTTGGCAGTACTGGTGTTAGTGTAATAAAAATGCACCCACCCTGTGCCTCTGTAACTTTTAATTTTTCTTTTCCATTTATATTATTACACTTCTTAACTTGAAAGCTTCTCAATGTTGGTATTTTATTTGCAGGAATAGGTTTGCAAGATAGGAATTTGGCTTGCAAGAGTCTGTACAGAGTTATACATTTCAATGCTTTTATCCAATAGATAAAAAGTTTAGTTATTATCACCTTCTCATGCAACAAATCTTTCTTTCCCATTTGAGTGAACATGTTTTAGAATATGTTTTATATCTGTCTGTAATAAAAAGAAATATAGAAAGAGCAAGAGTGAGCTAGATTCTCTTTTAATACTACAAAATGGTTCTATGCTAATGAAAAAAATCTTTAACATGGAATCTAAAGTCATATGCTTCAAATACATTGTAATTATATGGCAAATATACACATATTTACTCGGAACTATATTGCTTAGTAGCTAATACAGTGAGAGATAGCATTTAATCAAATTAATAATGAATGCATATTACAGTTGGAGGGAAAAATGCTATAATATATTCCAACATGTGTTGAAATATTGCTCCAATTTTTAAATCCCTGGTCTAGAAATCCAGCTGAAGATCCAACAATGAATTTTAATTTCAAATTTAAGACTTCAGATTACATGACTATCGGGAATTTTAACACCGAAACAGCATCATTGCCATCAGATGACAGTAGCCTAAGCTGTTAATCAAGATTCGTGCCCCCATGTGGTGATTACTGCACTTTTTCAGACAAGAAAAATCCTGGGTAATCTGGTTTATGACTCTTCCCCGGCAGCTTCTTACACCTGTACTTAATTCAGAACATAAAGAGATGTAACAGATGTAAATAGAAACATTTACACACTTAAATTTAACTTTTTAAAGTGTTTGCCGAGCTGGAATCTAATGGATACAAAGGGCTTGAGAGGACATAGTGTGCAAATAAACGTAGTCTCTGCAACTACGCCCCACAAGCAGGGCTGCCTGCAGCTGCTGAGGTGCTGGCGTGCTGGCCCAGGTGATCTCTTCTGTGCTTGTGTTCCTAACCCTGACCACTGCACCTTGGGTTCAGTGCACCCCAAAGAGCCTCTCCAGAGGTAACCCATTTCATTTTCCAATTTTGGTAATCTTTCCATTTTGCAGTAAAAAAGTTTTGTGCCCCTTTTAGAATGTGCTGATAAATCCAGCTATTTCAATGCTGTTGACCCTCTAGAAGTAAATCGTTTAATCTGCTTAGCAGAAAGCTCTTGCCATTGAAAGGACAGTGAGGTACTGAGTATCAGTCTGGTTATGAAGCTGTACAGAACTGAGATCTAATCTCAAGTGTTAGTGATAACACTGCAACTTTGGACAAATCACTTAATTTTAGATGAACAATTGAAAATCAATTCTAAAATGGTCAAAGAGCTGCTTTTGTGGATTGTTTTGAAGTGTCCAGGTTAAGCAACGCCTTATAAATCTAGCATGTCGCATTTCAATAGTTGGCACTTGACACCTGTGTACCCTCTGGAACCTCACATTCCCACCAAAGCCCCTCACACCAAGGTAGATTGGATGACCCCTTTCCTGCCCTTCTTCTCATCTTGTACTACAGGAAAAGTTCTTCTGCCTGTTCCTTTGGGGAATGTTGGGTCAAGCACTCAAAGAGCAACTGGGGTGTGGGGGAAGAAAGGTCTAGGCCCATCATGATTGAGTGAGAGGATAAATAATTCCCCATATTCTTCTAGGAATGCATGTAAGTAATCAGTAGAAATAAGAGTTAATTCTTGACCAGCTATTTCATTAGCACCTTACCTGCTTGTTGGCTTTCAGCACTGCCCTCAGGGTTGCTATCTGCTCCCGCTTTGTACTCAGGAGTGACTTCAGTTTCAGTATTTCCTCCATTAAGGCCTCCTTGTCTTTGTCGATCATGGGCGCCAGCTCCCGAGCTGCCGCACGCTGGCGGGACAGCTGCAGCGACCGATCGACAGCCTTCTGCAAGTGCTTGATTTGGTCCCTTATTATGGCATTGAGGTTGTAGATGTTCATCGGCTCTTTGCGAATGTCACTAGTGTCGGAGACTGGGGAGGAAGGAGGGGCCGTGATGACAGGAGAAATTGTAGGTGTTTTTGTTGGGCTCTGTTCCTTGCCAGGCTCTGTGCCCTCTTTTGTCACCTGCTCGGTCGGGGTCCTGGCTTCTACTGGCGATGCCATTCCCCTCCTGGCGAGCCGTGGGGAAAGGAGACCTCGAGGGTCATCCGGTCCCTTTAGGCTTCCGCTGCGGGTGACTCTGCTTTGCCTGTAATAGTCCAACATGACCCTGTTTGGTGTCTCGTTGTTGCACAGGCAGACGTGATGGTAGAGCTGAGCCAGCTCCTCGCTAAAGGTCACCAGCTCGTCCTGGGCGGTGTTGAGGGTGTTATGGTTTTCATTTGCTATGCTCGTCATCCTCTGCAATTCGTTCTCCATGTGGACCATTTTTTCCTGGCTTTCCTTGGTTGATTTCTCCAGGTTTGTCACCTGCTCGTTGTATGTCTGGATCCTGCTCTCATACTTGGCCTTCTCTTCAGTGTAGTTTTCCACATAATTATTATATTTCTCCTTTAAGGCTTTGATTTCAGCTTTAAGGTCAATCACCTCAGTAACTGCTACTTTGTATTTACATTCTAGGATCTCCAAGCCATTGATGTCCACTTCGTAGTCATGTGCTTCCTCCCCAGGCTCTCGGCCCTTCTCGCAGTCAAGATCCACTTTCAGCTCCTTGTTGTTCTGCAGCCCCCTCATGGCATTGACGTGCTCCGTGAGCCTGTGGACTCGCTCGTGCTGCTCGGTTAGGGCTCCCTTGGTGTGCTCCAGCTGCGTCTGAGACTCCTGAAGGTTGGCCAGGAGAATGGCCTTCTCCCTTTCCACCTGCAACAGAGTCAAAGTAAGAGATTTCATCCCGCCTGTGCTTCTCTGCTGAACTCCAACCTCACATCCATCTCTTCTACTCCCCCTCTTTGCATACACAGTTTGAGGGCTTCAAAGTCTTCAAGGAGATTTTGAAGTACCTGTACTTCTCAATCATAAAATTAAGTCCCAGAGATATGTTGATCTTGTAGGGAGTTATACAGTCTTGCCCCCTGCTACCATCTGCAATGTCACAAAGTTGTTATTCTTCTACACATTGACAAGTAAACAATTATTTGACAACCAAGCAATTCTGCCCATTCCCCTAAAACAGAGTAATAATATTGAATTTATTAGAATTTATTAGATCAGCTAATTTAGTAGGCAGAAATTGCAATGATATCAACTATCTCATATTACACTGAAACATACACATTTGTCAACAGACTTTGAATTTACATTTTCCACTCATTTAAAAACTTTATTTATATATTTGGAGTGTTGCAAACACTCATAAAGGAGTGCTTACTTACTGAATGCAAATGCAGTAAACAAATGTCTGTCTACTTTTCCACAGATGAGATTAAATTGCCACCACATGCAAACACACAGACTGGGACACTGAGCATATGCACCTCCTAGGACTCCCCTCCTCCAGCCTTTAACTATAAGAAAAATCCATCCCTTTAAGGGCATGAGAGAAAAAGCTGTGCATTTGGGGTATAACCAACAAACTAACAAATCACTGCCTCTGATCTGATAAATCCCCGCTGAAAACTCAGTTTTGCACAGCAGATGTCACTGAGAACTCCTCTAGCTGTTTAATAAACAGCGTCTTAAATCAAGTGATCAAGAATAACTGTTTTAAGTTTGGTCTGTTCAGATACTTACTACTTGCAGGCAACACCCCTGAAAAATTTAAAGCAATATGCTTTTTTTTTTTTTTTTTTTGTGCTTTTGACCAGTTCTGAACTGGGAACCAGAGGAGGGCAAAAAACAAAAAAAACACAGGATCCTTCTTGTTTTCATGGCTTTTGCAGCAGGATCAGGCTGTCTGTGGAAATCCTGAGCCCAGGTTCATTGCTCTCTCTTTCTCCTACAGTTGCAATAGCTCAGCCCTGTGTTCATACATGCAGTGAAACTGGCAGTTCCACATTCCCTTTATGGGCAAGTGAATTACTAATTCACAGAAATCGAAGCTGTCAGTTGAGAAAAATCCTTTAAAAAAGGATTTCCTTTGCTATCAGCATCTCCCCAGGTAGTGCTTGGAAGACTCAAATTGGCCATCGTGAAACTTGCCAGAGGGGGGGAAAAAAGAAAAAAGCCTTTTAGAGAGGTAAGGGAATATTAATGCGTCTCAGAAAATCTTCCAGCAGTAGTTCAAACTCCTCTTATCTCATAGCTAGAAATCCAGTGGCTGCTGCTGAAACGTATTACAGCACTAACGCATACGCTGATCCCCTCATTTTACAGACAGGCTTTCAAAACATGGCTTTTATTAGAACCTTTATCACTCGCAGCCACCAAATCCTAGGAGCAAAAATAGAAATCATGTTAAAAACCTTTAAAAAATCTGCCCTAGTTTTCTTACGTACAGGTGACTGATGACTTAAGAAGAATAAACAGGGCCAAACTTTATCATTATTTAAAGATTAAGGAAAGTCTGACTCTTTAGATACAGAATGCTCTACTTTATGTGCTACATAACCCGTGCTGCAATGTAGGAGAGCAAAGCCAAGGGCCATGAGCAGAGTGGTATCTTCCTCTGACGCTATTCCCTGGTTGCTGTCCTAGTTTCCCTCTCATCCCAATTATTTCTCATTTGCAGCATCAGTCTGCTCTTTCTGAATTTTGTTTATTAACAGAAAGTCCAAACTAGCTTAACCTTTCTCTCTGCCAAGACCATCTTGTCAAAAGGTGACTGCTCTCACAGAACTCTGTCAGATTATTATCTCAGCTATACATATATATATACACATATATATATATATACACACATATATGGGCTCTGGAACAAATATTTATTTTCAGTGATTTAGACTGGTGTAATAGAAAAAGAGCTTAAAAACAAACGACTGTTCCAGAGAAAAGGTCTGACAGCTATAACTCATACAACAACTTGGACAGTAGGTAAAATGAAAAAATGAAATATATGTACATACTGACTTTCACCGATCACAGTCCAGTAACAATGGATGAAGCTAATCTACTTCTGTTTGAAGATATGTGCTTCTACTTTCAAGAAGGGGAAAAAGAGAAAGATCAAACTGAGCCCTGAAGACACCATCTGAATACTAATGATTCTCTACTGGGTTTTAGTACAGTAATTATATTTCTTGCCCTAGACAATATTTTTACCCATAGCAAACTTTGGGGAATAAGCTGTTATTTTTGGTATATCCTTCAAGGATTTCAGTTTGGGGAGATATCCTTCTAGTTTTGTTCTATAGTTTGCAATTATGGGAAACAATTTAACCATTGCTATTTATCACACCCCTCCATGCCACTTTTATTAATAGATCAGCAAACAGTTCCTGATGAGGAATACTTGATGTGAACAGGAAATTCACTTCAAGGACCCTGAATTTCAGCCTCAATTTTTATGTGTCAGAGAATACTGCAGAAAAGAATCTGCACTACTTTAAAAAAAAAAAATAATTAATCTAACTTTTCCAAATAGGACAGTGAGGATGTTGGCTTGAAGAATAAGGAAAACACCATGAAAGGGAAAGAAGGCTGTAAAAATTAGCTGACCATGTCTTCCCACTGAACAGACACGCCTGTACAAAATAGCAAAGTTTTCTTCTCTCAAAAAAAAGGTGTCTATAAACATAAAAATATTTCCTGAGAGATACATAGTTTCTTCAGTAATTCTGCTACAGTCTCTGCAAAGAAAACTGGAGGATATATACCAGCTGTGGAGAGGTAAGGAATACATGGCAAAAACACCACTAAAGAGGACCCAGGAAACTACAGGCCGATTAACCTCACCTCCGTCTCTGGAAAGGGGATGGAGCAGCTCATCTGAGAGACCATCTCTAGGCATGTCAAGGAAAAGAAGGTGATCAAAAGTAGTCAGTACGGATTCACCAAGCGGAATTCATGCCTGACAAGCCTTATAGCGTTCTACGATGGGATGACTGGCTGGATGGACGATGAGAGAGCCGTGGATGTTGTCTACCTTGACTTCAGCAAGGCTTTCGACACAGTCTCCCATAACATTCTCATGGGGAAGCTTGGGGAGTGTGGTTTGGACAAGTGCACACTGAGATGGATCAAGAACTGACTGGATGGCAGAGTTCAGAGGGTGATAATAAAATGGGGCCGAGTCCAGTTGGAGGCTTGTGGCCAGTCACGTCCCCCAGGGGTCAATACTGGGTCCAGTGCTGTTCACCTTGTTCATCAACGACCTGGGTGAGGGCACGGAGTGCACCCTGAGCAAGTTTGCAGATGACACCAAGCTGGGTGGAGTGGCCGACCCTCCGGAGGGCTGTGCTGCCATCCAGAGGGATCTGGACAGGCTGGTGAGTTGGGCAGAGAGGAACCTCATGAGGTTCAACACGGACAAGTGCAGCGTCCTGCATCTGGGGAGGAATAACCAGTACAGATTAGCGGTTGACCTGCTGGAAAGAAGCTCTGTGGAGAGGGACCTGGGAGTCCTGGTTGACACCAAGTTAACCATGAGCCAGCAGTGCCCTCGTGGCCAAGAAGGCCAATGGGATCCTGGCCTGCATCAGGAGGAGTGTTGCCAGCAGGTCAAGGGAAGGGATCCTGCCCCTCTGCTCAGCTCTGGTGAGGCCGCATCTGGAGTATTGGGGGCAGTTCTGGGCTCCCCAGGTGAAGAGGGATGGGGAGCTTCTAGAGAGGGTCCAGTGGAGAGCAACAAAGATCATTAAGGAATGGGAGCACCTATCTTATAAGCAAACACTAAACTAGCTGGGCCTCTTTAGCCTAGAGAAGACTGAATGGAGATCTGATCAATATATCTAAGTACCTGAGGGGACAATGTAGGGAAGATGGGGCCAAACTCTTCTCGGTGGTGGCAAGTGATAGGACAAGGGGTAATGGGTACAAGTTGAAGCACAGGAAGTTCCAGCTCCATGTGAGGAAGAACCTCATGGCAGTAAGGGTGACAGAGCCCTGGAACAGGCTTGTTCTACAACAGAGGTTGTGGAGTGTCCTTCTCTGGAGGTCTTCAAAACCAGCCTGGATGTCGCGCTGTGCCCGGTGCTCTGGGTGTCCCTGCTTGAGCAGGGAGGTTGAACTAGATGATCTCTAGAGGTCCCTTCCAGCCTCAACCATTCTGTGATTCTGTGAATATCCAAATTTGCTGAAGAATTACTTTCTGTCAGCTTGAACATAATTAAATCCCCAAATCTACTCCGCAGAGAAATTTTCGAGGAAATTTTTGCATTAAATCTATGTGACCCCATGGGAGCTGATACGACTAAATAGAGATGCCCACTTAAAAAAGCTGCACATCAGTGTTTTGCAGTATCAAACTGTTTTTCAGTATCTAAACTAATATTTCTCACTTGGGTCTATTATTTCTTCGTTAGACTTTTTACCATGACTTGCACGCTAAGCAATGGTAGCGGCTGTTTGTGCGATGTTGTCCTGTTCTCGCAAAGCCATGAGACCGAGGAACATCTTTATTCCTTTTCTAGGGTGTCACAGTCCTATGACTATCAGTTTGTGGCAGGTGCCTTTTAAAATGTTCTCTGTTAGTATTTACTAAAAATGTCCCTCTCCTTTTGTTCTCTTTTGGAGGGTCTTTTTGTTGGTCAGATCCTGTTGCAACTGAAGCTAAGGGCAAAAATTTCCTCTGATTTGCAGGGAGGTCATAACTGAATCTGTCTATACTGAATATATACTGAATCTGTATATACTGAAGAGTGCTCTGCTCCATTTGCAATCTCAGGAGCATTTTCTGTTATTATACCAGGAAAATGACACCAAAATCCCATCACTGGCAACTACATTATCTCAGTTCCTCTCTCTCTTTCCACTAAATACCAGTTCAGACCACACTATTTTCACATACAAATATTCTCTTTCTAGAGGTATTTCAAGCACAATCAAGACATAAAGAAACATCAAAGCAGAGGACAGAGAATATACAGTCAAGCATGTCCCTGGAGGAAATCAAAGTCATGCCAAAAGCTGGGATTAGACTCCATGAGATGTATGTCTAATCAGGACGTTAAATTAAGCTCTTACCTGCATGAGCTGCTGCTTCAGCTTCTGTATCTCTGATATGTTGAGCTCACTGAAGAGGTCTGACACTGGGTGCAGAGATTCCCCTTTCCTAACCGCGGGAGCTCGGAAGTCACCGTTGAGTTTCACAAGAGGCCCGTGGATATGTCCGTTCATTTTGTCGTCGTTGTTGGGCTCACTCCCATCCTCTGCAAATTTTAATCCATCTACTGATATATTAATATGGTTATTATACATACTATCATTGAGGTTGATATACTGGGAGAGTTCCTTCCTCAGATTGTTCTTTTGCTCCCTCTCATTTTTTAAAGTTTCCAGGGCTTCCTCCAGCTGATGCTCAGCAATCTCCTTCAACCGGATGGCATCTTCTAGCTGACTATTAAGCAACACTGTCTCCTCCTCAAAGCGTTTAATCTCATGCTTTAAGCCTTCATATTCAACCTGAATTAGACAAGACAAAGAACATTCATAATACTAAAACTTGAGTCATGAAAACCTGCCATTCACTAGCCTTATTGAAATAGGTGCTATTAGAAAAAAAAAATGAAATACTAGACCTGTAGCTGCAAAAAAAATGCCAAACAGAAAATTCAAGTGGTTTGTAATAATCTCCCTTTCCACTTAGTTTATCATAATAAACAATGCATTTCATGGAAAGAAGGTTATTTAGAAGCAGGTATCCTGGTAATCAGAGATTAACTGTGAGTTGTCATATGCAGTGTTGTTACATCATTACATGCATTGATCTTAACACAGCTTGGGCCAGTATTCTGAAGATGACTCTAATCTTCACATAGTTACTCTTACCGGACATAAGTCACTCACATAGGGATACTCTCAAGTATCTTGGTGTCTTAGTAGTGTTAAAATCTATAGATGGAAAGTACAAAAGTCTTTGAAGAGTCCAACTTCTCTGTACATATCACATAACCTTCTCCATCATTCGAGAAACATTTAATTGGAAAAAGGAAACAGCAGAGCAATCTGCTGGTTGTGGAATCACAACCAATTTATACTACAGGATGCTCCAAATTCTCAGAGAATTTAAAACTACCAGGGAAATATAATAAACAGGTCGTTTAGCACCCACTGCTAGAATGGTGGGATGCCATTTTCGAGCACTTGCTGAAATGCTTTCCCCAGTGAACTGGTCAGGTTTAGTGGGACTAAATGGTCTCTTGTCTTTCCAGGTGTCCAACCGGGTAGTATTTTATCAATATATTTATTGGCAGCGTGCATGGAAGAAAACAACTGCTTCTACTGTGTGAAAGCAGCTCCCATTTTTATAGGAGATACATGGAAACCTCTGTGTTGCACCCAACACAAAACAACACTCAGGGAAACCAGTCTAGCTATAAGCCAGTTGCTCAGCAATATCCAGAGGTTGCAAGAGACCCTGCTGCAGAACATGTCAGCTTACTGCCCTCCTTTTCCCCTGCTAGAAAATCCCACAGCTATCCCCCACAAAAGATCTTTGCCTACGTGGTTGCATGTCCATTCCTCACCAGGAGAAATGGGTTTTTGATTTTTAATTCTGTCCATGTAATTTATCCATATTATCATTTCTAAATGGAAAAATTTCCACTATCAGAAGAAATTTTGCAGCAGTTTGGTAAAAGAGAAAATGGAATGCTGATTTTTCATGCTTTTATAAAAACCTTCTAATTCTACACTTGTAATAAATTCAAATGCATTACTATCTGCAATTTTAAAGCATGGTCTCATGTATTTTTCAGTTGATATTGATATTTATATATTTACGTATATTTTAAATGAACTATAATAAGATTCTGGTAAAAACAGAAACATTAACTATTCCTTTTGGAGTAGAATGTTTATCAACTTGTCAAAAGTCTTGCACTTGTTAGTCTTTGGAAAGCAAACTTGAAAACTGAAGGACTAATCTTCAAATTCAGAGAACTGAAAACAATTAAGCAACAAAAGAAAGAAAGAAAGAATGTAAGTCATACTGGGAAATCTTAAAAAATCTTAGAAAAAGAAAAGTAAAATAAATAGTATTTTAAAATCTTTGTTTAGAAACTTGAAATCTCTTTTGTCTGGAGATGTCTATCTAAAACATTACAAAACTCAACCTTGTTTGAGCTCAACCTTGAGCTGCATTTATAACTTGAGGACATAAAAAACACCTAACATCTTCCATTTAAATTCTTCATGAAAACAAGAGGTTAGTATCACCCATATGGTAACCATCTCATGAATTCTTGTTTCTACAAGTTTCAAGGAAAAATGTTACAGAAAAGTCCAACACAGACAATCATAGTTCATCATTAAGACTTGTATGTATATATACAATATATAATTAATAAAAATCATAGTTTTATTATTTAAAGTATTAGAAAATAAAATGCTCTTTAAATCTTCTATTGTAGACCAACACTTTTTTAGGAATTACAAAAACATGGAAATGTGATAGAAAATGTTTGGGTTTTTTTAGGTGATTCAAAATGTGGCAATGCTTCTTTTTCCACACACAGCTGGTTTTCAGATGCATTATAAATGAAATACTATGACAGACAGCGGTGCAAACACTTGCAACAGATTTTCTCCAGGTAGAAACTAGGGCAGTCCAAAAAGGAGCCTTTATTTTTTTTCCTGATGATGTGAAAATGCCCGCTGTGAGGCTGGTGAGATAAAAAATACATACCTCAAAGGGAGAATTTGCTGGCTTGATAAATAGCTCTGACACAAAGTGATCTGCTAGAAATTCACTTTCTGTGATGCAAAAGCCTTGAAATCTTTATAAGCAAATAAATAAGCTAGTTTCTACTATATATATATATTCCCCTACTGCACTGCTTCATGGTTCTAAATAGTTCAATCTCATTTGGGCTAGAAACATAAAATATAAGTAAAGAAAGATAAAATAGTACCACATATTCCTACAGGAGTAAGATACGTTTTGTTAGGAGGTTCCCATTAGAAACAGCAACCATCTCAGATATTTATTTTTATGCTATAAATATTTATTGTATTTATTTTTGATAAAAGCCCTAACTGAACCATTCAGAGGCTCAGGACATAAGACGGGGACTACAAAGCAGTGCTATCATCTGTTGGAAGTGCAGGAACTGGGGTTATGCAGGATAATCTCATGGAGACATCTAGAAAGATAAAGCCAGTTTTGTCATCCAGCCAGGATACTCACTTCTTTATCCTGGCAAATTAACTTTTCTGACATGAGAACAAATCCCTTCTGTTCAGTTCAAAGGGCAACTGTGCTCTTGCCGACTTCCTTGGCAGCATTTACATCTGGGGGCAAAGGAAGCCATGCTTTTGTAAAGGGGGATTGCACAGAGCCAGCGACTACCTCGGGGCTCCTCAGGGCACATTGTGCACCACAGGGCACAGGACAGGGCTTGCTCCCAGCTCCAAACTGCTGCAGCAGGGGAAAGTTAAAGAGATAACCCAGGAGCACTCCTTCTTCTGTTTTCAAAGCTTGCCAAGCTTGCAGGTTAGCACTTCTGAGCAGCGAGCAATAGCGGGAGGAGAGGAAACAGTGCAGGAAACAAAACTCACCAGCTAAACTCTGGGGTTAGGCATTGAGTTTCCTGTGCAAGGAGAGGAAAAGCACAAAGCAAAAAGCTACAGTTCTACCCATTTTCAATAATTATTCTGCTCTTACAGATTTCTGCATAGATATATGCCATCAGGATTTTCCTAAAAATGAGGAAATGCCTCTCCTTTTCTAAAAAAAAAAAAAAAAACAGTAACACTGTTAAAGAGTAAGTGTTTATAAAAAGAAGAAAAAAAGAAAACATACAAACTTTTATTGAAGTGCTCTGCTAGATTATACTATGGAAATTTGAGAAAATGGTGTCATTTGTCAGCACAGCCCCTAGACTCTTTTGATACTTACTTGATTCTGTTTCAGCGTGGACACCAGTTTCTGTAAAGTGATATTTTCTTCTTCAAGTTCAGTATAGTCCTGTAGAAGTCTTGCCTCCCGAAACTTGTACTCTCGAATTTCATCTTTCATTCGTATCCTCTGTAGTTCCACCATTTCGTTATTCTGAGGACAGAAAACACAAATATGTTACCGTTCAACAAGGGCCACTTCAGCAATAAGCACTTCCTATAGAAAAGGCCACAAAAAATGAATCCTTAACTTGAAATGACTTAACAGTGCATGATGAAACGACATCATCTCTTTATTTCAGGCAAAACTGTAACTTTAGGTGTACATTGGCAATGTCCAAATGAGAATATATGATAAAGTTTCAGTTCCAAGATTTGGTGCTTATCAAAAGGGAAAGCTTGGCAAGGCTTTGTCATCCAGTTAGTTTACTTGCTATATGACATAGTTGCATCCAAATAGAGCTACCTCCTGTTTTCCACACTATCTACATTCACTCCAAAGAGGAGTGACTAATAGCATCTATTCTGCAACGACATCTATTACTGAGCAGGGCACACTGACATGTTTGGACCTGACCTTAAAGACAAATATAGGGGTGTGCGTTGCGGGGGGGACCTTGCCATGCAGTCTGTCATGAAGCACCCTCCAAAAACCTAAAAAACTCACAGCTCTCTGGAGCTCACCAGCTGCTAAAGACACAATATTTAAACCCATAATGCCTGAGAACACACATGGTTGTTGTTTCAGTTTCTCCATTAGCAAAAGCAGTTCCTGTACAACCTTTGAGACAGGTCACGAGGGATGAATTTCACCCAAAATCACTACCATCAAATTCCTGGTGTGTCTGATTTTTTTTACAGGAAGATTCTGGCCATTCCAGAAAGACCTAAGTCTTCCCAGAAGCTCTAAAAACTGAACTAAAACACTCAACATGAGCAAGGAATTAAAACACAAACCGCTGGCTGCCAGGGTCAATGAGTGTCCCCATCCCTGCTTTAAACAGAAGCCCAGATTTTCTGGATCAAAAGGAAGAGGTGTAATCGGTCATATGTCCCTCTGGCTTCCAGGAATAAGATGAGCATTGCAGCAGCCCCACTGACGGGGAGATGACCCAGTGTAACACGGAGAGATGAGTTCCCGTGCCTTCAGTGAAGGGCAGGCCCTCAGCACCGCCAGCGTGTCTGAAGAGCTGCCACAGACTGCTGCAGGGGACTTCTGTGAGGAAAAAGAGCCCCATATCTACCTAAAAAGGCACCTACTAAAGGCAGCAGTACTGCTGAAACTGTAGTCAGTGAGTTTTAAACAGCTCCACCTGTAAAACTTGCCTTCTAGTGCGCGAGAGCTAAAACGATGTTTCTGACCTGAGGATACACAGAGCGGTGCTCAGTGTCAGGTTAAGCAATGATCCTGGAAAATGATACTGCAGAACATGAAGAATACATATATACTTTCATATAGCAGTTAGGAAGGGTGGTAAACAAGGCGTTTTTTAAATGAAGCTTGTTGAAGAAGAATCCGTCCCTGCCCCAAGCTAATGAAGACTAAAGGGTTTCTTAGCAGAAAACACATCCGTGGGCTGAGGGATGACCCTGCTGCCCAGCGGTGCGAGTGACCTGCCGAGGTGCCCCGAGCCTCTGCTCGTCTGCCAAACAGGCTCTTCCCTCACCAGGAAGACCCTGTAGGAAAAGGGAGGAAACAAACACCAGAGGGGCAGAATGGATGACCTGGCCAAAAAACTTTTACTGAATTCTATTCTATTCTATCTAAGCATCCTATCTGAGGAGCCTGCAAAGCTCTGTCTGAAGTGGTCCCTCTGCCTGCCCCCAAAGGGCCTAGCGCAGCTGGAAGCAATCCCACTGTCCTACCACAACAGCAGGACAAACACAGCTCGGCAGCATGAAAAGATGACACAATATTTCCTTCATGTAAAATGTGCATTTCTTCACTGAAAATGCCATAGCTTTATTCTCCATGCTCTGGGCTCTCATTTTTATAAAAATCTGCATTATGCTGGCTAATACTAAGCCATACCAGGCTCTCTTGCTTTCATGGCTTTCTATGAAAGGCAGGGCTTTAAAAGCAATGCAAAACCTTAGGATTATCCAGCCTTACAAGTGAGGAGCCACAGGACGTGCCTGACTGCTACTGTCCTTCCATTCATGTGAGGTCTCTGTTTTCTTTCATGGAAGGAAACTACAGTACAAAAAATTTCATGCAACGTTTGTTGCTTTCAGCAAGCACAATATATCCCATCAGAATATTCCCATCAGATGCTCTTTTTAAAGATAGTACCTTCTCAAAAATGTCTGTTGTTAATTGGAATTTTTTTTAAATACACATTTCTTCAGCAGAAATCATACGGATAGAGAGACTATATGTACATATATACATATATATATACATATACGTGCAAGACACTATATACCTATAGTATGGAGACTGTATTGATATAGTGGCAGTATGCTGCAAACTTTGTATTTGGCTATTGTACCAGTCCTCTCTGGAGGTGACCTGTATGAAAACCAAACAAGATGATTAAAAAAAAAAAAAAAAAAAAAAAGCAAGGCAAAAGGAGCCTGCCAGCAGGGCAGCTGTCTACCAGAGCCACTAGAGGACAATGCAACCCCGATCATTATCCAATCAGCAAAATCATTCATCATTAAACTGTACTGGCAGTTGGGTATTGAACATTAAACTTCCAGGATACCGCAACTGGTCCAGATACTTTTATTAGGGCATCAATATTATTTTGCATCTCCAGAGAGGACTCCCCTACGGACTATTTCATCTGTAAAGATCAGCTTAATCCAAGAGGTGGAGCTAATGATACATGAAAAATATTTTAATGCCTAGAAGTAACTTTCAGTCCCAGTCACTAGAAAAACATGGTGCCACAGTTTTAATGGATTTGTGCCAAGATGGAAAAGGCCTTTCTGGTGAAACTATCACGGACAAGAGAGTCCTTGTCAGCATTGCATCTAATTATACACGAGCACTAATTGTGGAAGATGTCAGTCATGTGGTTCAATGCACTTCTAATGAACCTATACACAACAGAACAGATCATGAGAAATGAAAAACAGAAGGCCCCAGTCGTGATCAAGTTTGTTTAGGTCGCCTATCCAGAGATACTTCGACACGTTTTCAAAATTGTTGTCCATGAAGACAGACATCTCCAGGATTTACAGGGGTAAATCTTTACCCCTTTACAGGGGTATCTTTACCGTACATTCAGCACTTCAATCCTCTCAGGAGAACAAAAACATAAAGTGATAAGCTTTTGAGTTCTCACAGAACTTAATACAATATATTTGAGATCATTTCTGATTCAATTCAGACTTTCACAATGCTTACAGAGCACGCTGTATTAACTGTGTGTGGAGGCACACTGTAGGGTACTGCGATGGCTCAAAGAATTCAAAGTGAAAACAACAGAAGCATTTCATCTTACAAATGATAAGAAAGAACTAGCAAAAGAAACACAATTTCCCCATGTCCATTTTAAATTTGGAGTGCTCTCGCCCAAGCAAACAGATTGCCTTGTGGTATGTCACTAAACCTAAGGAGTGCAGAGCAGCCAAGGGACAGCAGTGCAGTGCTGGGTATTCTCCATTCCAAGATGAGAAGTCAGCTCAGCTGCCTTTGATTTCTTGAACTATGAACCCACAGACCAAGACCTATGAACTTCTTTGAAACTGGTGCTGCTTTGAAGCTTTCTTTCCAAAGTGAACGCCCTTCTGTCACCTGGTTCTCCATCTCCCTCAGATTATGGGAAGGAAAGTTTTCAGTTTAGTTCTGGTTTTTCTCTCTTGGTTCTTCTCCCCTCAAAAAAACCCAAAACTATTAAACTAGTGATTGGGGTTTTTTTTTTTCCTACTTTTTTTTCTCATGTAAATTTTAATGAAAAGACTTTCAGTCCTTACTGCAGTAAAACATACCATTTTCCACTGCAGAACAATCTTGCAATCAGAAACTAATTAGATGCTTCAAACAGCCCTGGTTTAATTACAAGATATCTTCTAGAAAATGCACACAACATCATGATGCTGTGTGTGATTTTATAATCTTTATAATTCATGAATAAAGAGAACAGTGGAAAAATTATACACTTCGGATTTAATGGCACTATATTATGGCTGATGGAGTACAAAACCCTATTTGATCTGGTGACAGTTTTATTGCAGTCGTAGTAAATTGAATGTAATCGAAAATTTATGCTTAGACTAATATCCATGATCTTATGTGTTTGCAGACACATCTTTCCGCAAAATTCGTGTGCCTTACTTCACTCTACAGAGAAAAATGCAAGGTCTATCTTTTATTAATAACAATAATGAGCAAATGATATAAAATTAAAGGTGGATACAAATTTAATTACAAACAGGCTAATTTTGCATGTGAGAGGTCCTAGAGCACTGCTATCACACTAATACCTTTGGTCAAAAGCAAATCTAATTCCTCCTTTAGGACCATCCCAAAACAGAATTAACCGTAATCATAAATAATTCTGGTTCCTTTTTAAATTTATGGGCTATATCTGCTTGGCTTCATGACAGTATAAAAAAAAATCCTGAAAAATTAATGAGGAAGAAATAACAAAACCCTAAAGCATCTTTAATTCATTGGCTTTAGAAAATAAAGGTATATGCTTACAAAATTTATAGCCTAATTATAGGTTGTAGGACTAGCCCGGAGGACTATTGTATAAGGAATTAGTGATCCACATAATGGCTGGCCCAATATATGCCTATTATGAAGGCTGTATGCTGATACGTATGTGATTTTTTTTAAGCACCTGTGCTATATGTTATTCTACTTGAAATATTATGCAACCTTGTCCACTATACATACCATTCCCAGGCCTTGCAGGTTTATTAATGTGATAGGGGCAATAGGGCATACTGCCCAAGGGATGTTTTTAAGCTAAAGCCACAGTCCAGACCTGCTCTGCTACCAGCATCTGATGATTTTGCATCATGAATAAGGCTTGAAAACAGCACAAGTGGATTGGTGATCCCCCAAACTGAGGGGATCTGTGTATGGTGCTGTATCATCCATATTGTATCATCCCAGAGTTCCCAGTGTCAGAAGAGCTGAATCACCTTTGCTGGGATAACAATAAAGAGTTGTCTGTCTTGAAAATGTTTGTGCCT